CACTGTTTCTTCACGTTCTACAGATGTATATGCCACTGGTTCTTCACGTTCTGTAGATGTAGATGCCACTGGTTCTTCACGTTCTGTAGATGTAGATGCCAGTGGTTCTTCACGTTCTGTAGATGTAGATGCCACTGGTTCTTCACGTTCTGTAGATGTAGATGCCACTGGTTCTTCACGTTCTGCAGATGTAGATGCCACTGGTTTTTCACGTTCTGCAGATGTAGATGCCACTGGTTCTTCACGTTCTGCAGATGTAGATGCCACTGGTTCTTCACGTTCTGTAGATGTAGATGCCACTGGTTCTTCACGTTCTGTAGATGTAGATGCCACTGGTTCTTCACGTTCTGCAGATGTAGATGCCACTGGTTCTTCACGTTCTGCAGATGTAGATGCCACTGGTTCTTCACGTTCTGTAGATGTAGATGCCACTGGTTCTTCACGTTCTGTAGATGTAGATACCACTGGTTCTTCACGTTCTGTAGATCTAGATGCCACTGGTTCTTCACATTCTACAGATGTAGATGCCACTGGTTCTTCACGTTCTGCAGATGTAGATGCCACTGGTTCTTCACGTTCTGCAGATGTAGATGCCACTGGTTCTTCACGTTCTGTAGATGTAGATGCCACTGGTTCTTCACGTTCTGTAGATGTAGATGCCACTGGTTCTTCACGTTCTGTAGATGTACGGGGGCGGGCGGGGGAACTTAGGTTAATGGCCCAATGGAGAAAGGAAGATTTGGGGGATTTCAATGACGTGACGACGGAAGTGTGCTGGAGCTGTTTCTCACTCCTGTCTCTAAAAGTTACTTGGGGGGGGTTTGGGCGGGGGGTGGTTACGTGATGGTGCACCTCGGGTGGGGTAACGTGGCAATGTTCCCAGGGGGAAGGGTAACTCTGAGTGTCCATTGTATGTGTGTGAACTTCTTTCGCTCCGTACGTAGTCAACCATGCTATGTGTGTGTGCTAAACTTATTTCACACCGTACGTAGCCAACCGTGCTATATGTGTGTTTGTGTGTGTGTTGAACTTCTTTGCCACCATTTGTTGCCAAACCATGCTAATCGTGAGGTGTGCGGGAGGATAATCGTTTTGTTCGAATCTGCCAATGTAAAATAACAACGATAGCATTGGTAAATCTGTACGGGAACCGTTAACGATACAAATACCCTGTCGTCTCCACTCGCCGATCGTAAATGACACGGGCCCTGCCACAGTCAACCCCGAGCGAAGAAAATTACGACACGCTTCAACACGTGGCGGGCTTTCACGATCAACATCATACGGAGTACAGGTGTTTATCTGGGGGGTTGTATCGCGTGGATAGACGCGTCCGTTGGGTGTTCTCGTTATTTTAGTCGCTTGCAAGTTACCAGCAAGCTCGATAGTTGGAAGATGAACCTCACAAAATGGACAGCTGGGTGAAAATATTATTGGTAGGAGTGGGGGGGGGGGGTAGCAGGGGGCTTGCTTCTATGTTGAAACACAACTCAACAAGGACGGGCGAACGCAGTAACTTAAAAAAAAAAGTTTGAGAATTATTTCACTTTTTTTCGTGATTTTACTTGAACAGGCAAGGCCCCACCACCACCACCACCACTGAGCTGGCTTATCGCAAACTAGATAGCCCAGCAACAGTGGCGGCTTATCGTCATCGCCGCGTGGACATTTATAGCAGCGGTCGAATACTCTTGAGAGCGCTTTGACGTTGATTCCGAGCGTGGAGGGGGGCAACAAACCTGAGGGCCCCGGATAACAATCCACGCGGCCACGGGGGGGAGAGAGAGACGCAGACTCCAAATATTAAGCAGGCGTGGGGGTCTGGATGGAACCCACGACCTCCTGTGTACCAGGCGAGGTAGTCAACATCTCATAGCCACATACAAATATACAGCAGCAGCAGCAGCAGGCGTCATCAGGGTCGGGATGGAACCCACGACCTCCTGTGTACCAGGCGAGGTAGTCAACATCTCCCTAGCCACCCTGGCACCCCCCCTTAACGACTACCCGGTAGTAATATCCCTCTACCCTAACGTTACCCCATAGCCCTTCTACTCATGAGCGAGGACCCCCAGTGATTCACTCACTGGTGAGCGAGGAGCCCCAGTGACTCACTGGTGAGCGAGGAGCCCCAGTGACTCACTCACTGGTGAGCGAGGACTCCCAGTGACTCACTCACTGGTGAGCGAGGAGCCCCAGTGACTCACTCACTGGTGAGCGAGGAGCCCCAGTGACTCACTCACTGGTGAGCGAGGAGCCCCAGTGACTCACTCACTGGTGAGCGACGACCCCCAGTGACTCACTCACTGGTGAGCGAGGAGCCCCAGTGACTCACTCACTGGTGAGCGAGGAGCCCCAGTGACTCACTCACTGGTGAGCGAGGACCCCCAGTGACTCACTCACTGGTGAGCGAGGAGCCCCAGTGACTCACTCACTGGTGAGCGAGGAGCCCCAGTGACTCACTGGTGAGCGAGGAGCCCCAGTGACTCACTCACTGGTGAGCGAGGACTCCCAGTGACTCACTCACTGGTGAGCGAGGAGCCCCAGTGACTCACTCACTGGTGAGCGAGGAGCCCCAGTGACTCACTCACTGGTGAGCGAGGAGCCCCAGTGACTCACTCACTGGTGAGCGAGGAGCCCCAGTGACTCACTCACTGGTGAGCGAGGAGCCCCCAGTGACTCACTGGTGAGCGAGGACTCCCAGTGACTCACTCACTGGTGAGCGAGGAGCCCCAGTGACTCACTGGTGAGCGAGGAGCCCCAGTGACTCACTCACTGGTGAGCGAGGAGCCCCAGTGACTCACTCACTGGTGAGCGAGGAGCCCCAGTGACTCACTCACTGGTGAGCGAGGAGCCCCAGTGACTCACTCACTGGTGAGCGAGGAGCCCAGTGACTCACTCACTGGTGAGCGAGGAGCCCCCAGTGACTCACTCACTGGTGAGCGAGGACTCCCAGTGACTCACTCACTGGTGAGCGAGGACTCCCAGTGACTCACTCACTGGTGAGCGAGGAGCCCCAGTGACTCACTCACTGGTGAGCGAGGAGCCCCATTGACTCACTCACTGGTGAGCGAGGACTCCCAGTGACTCACTCACTGGTGAGCGAGGACTCCCAGTGACTCACTCACTGGTGAGCGAGGAGCCCCAGTGACTCACTCACTGGTGAGCGAGGAGCCCCAGTGACTCACTCACTGGTGAGCGAGGAGCCCCAGTGACTCACTCACTGGTGAGCGAGGAGCCCCAGTGACTCACTGGTGAGCGAGGAGCCCCAGTGACTCACTGGTGAGCGAGGAGCCCCCAGTGACTCACTGGTGAGCGAGGAGCCCCAGTGACTCACTCACTGGTGAGCGAGGACTCCCAGTGACTCACTCACTGGTGAGCGAGGAGCCCCAGTGACTCACTGGTGAGCGAGGAGCCCCAGTGACTCACTGGTGAGCGAGGACCCCCAGTGACTCACTCACTGGTGAGCGAGGAGCCCCAGTGACTCACTGGTGAGCGAGGAGCCTCAGTGACTCACTGGTGAGCGAGGAGCCTCAGTGACTCACTCACTGGTGAGCGAGGAGCCCCAGTGACTCACTCACTGGTGAGCGAGGAGCCCCAGTGACTCACTCACTGGTGAGCGAGGAGCCCCAGTGACTCACTCACTGGTGAGCGAGGAGCCCCAGTGACTCACTGGTGAGCGAGGAGCCCCAGTGACTCACTCACTGGTGAGCGAGGAGCCCCAGTGACTCACTCACTGGTGAGCGAGGAGCCCCAGTGACTCGTTAGGTGACTATTTGGGTGGTTATGATGGGCGGGTGGGAGCTGAGTGGACTTGCCATTGACCGGTACCAGCGGTGTCAAGGTCGTCCTCTATGGAGGAGAGGAGGCTCGTGAAGCACGCTGCTGCGGCTACTGGGTAGTGGGAGGCCTCCAACAACAACAACAACGGAGGGCAGAGGAGCAACGCTCGCAACAACGAGCGGAGCACCGGGCGGCTAAAATGCAGCGAGTTTGCACAGTAGGGAGCACATCCGGTGGTGAATCTACCAGTCATCTCAGTCAGCCAACCCATGGTATCTGCTGGGACTGTCCCGTCACCTCCTGTCAGCGAGCCTTCGACACTTCACGTGGCCTCAAAGTGAACCTGGCCTGGCACAGGCGTTGTGGTGATGTCACCGTCACTTAGTGGCGGAAAGCGGGTGTTATTGTTTTGCTTGGTATATGACTGGATGGGTGGAGGTGGCGATATGGATAAGTGAGTGTCTGGCTGTATGGATTCATGGACCGTAGCCTCGTTGGGTGGTTGGGTAGATGAGTGAGTGGCTAGTTTGGTGGGTGGATAGATGAGTACGTGGATGGCTGGGTGATTAGCTGTGTACGTGGATAGATGAGTGGGTGAGTGAGTGGCTGGGTGGGTGGGTGGGTGAGTGAGTGGCTGGGTGGGTGATTGGCTGGCTGGGTGGGTGGGTGGCTGGGTGAGTGGGTGGCTGGCTGGCTAAGTGGCTGGCTGGCTAAGTGGCTGGCTGGCTACGTGGCTGGCTGGGTGGGTGAGTGGCTGGCTGGGTGGGTGGGTGAGTGGCTGGCTGGGTGGGTGGGTGAGTGGCTGGCTGGGTGGGTGGGTGGGTGAGTGGCTGGGTGGGTGGGTGGGTGAGTGGCCGGCTGGGTGGGTGGGTGAGTGGCTGGCTGGGTGGGTGAGTGGCTGGCTGGGTGGGTGGGTGAGTGGCCGGCTGGGTGGGTGGGTGAGTGGCCGGCTGGGTGGGTGGGTGAGTGGCCGGCTGGGTGGGTGGGTGGATGGGTGGGTGGGTTAGTGGCTGGCTGGCTGGGTGGGTGAGTGGCTGGCTGGGTGGGTGGCTGGGTGAGTGGGTGGGTGGGTAAGTGGCTGGTTTGGTGGGTGGGTGGCTGGGTGACTGGGTGGGTGACTAGAGGGCTAGGTGGGTGAGTGGGTGGGTGGGTGAATTGATAGCTGCGTTGCCGTGTGTTGGCCGTGTTGCATGACCCTGTGCATTATATCCCCACAGCTCTCTCCGCGTATCAGAAGTACTACACGACTCAGCCCGACTACTGGAAGGTACGCTCACAACCACGCTGACACCACACTCACTGCCACACTCACTGCCATGCTCACTACCACGTTCACACTAAACACTACTGCATTATACACTGTTAAATTATACACTACTACATTTATACACGACTACTCTATACACTATATTCTTTGGGCATATCGGTAAAGTCACGTAGATAATATAACAAAAAACTACGATGTTTCCATCACGAGCGATCGTCATCCGGAGTAAAGAAGGGGGGGAAGCTGCTGAATGCAGACTCTTTTATAGGGTGTAGTCCTAGGGTCGTCAACGAAGTGGGCGGGGGGCTAGTGATGTTAATGTGAGAAGTTAGCATGTACATGCGAGAGATTAGCGTGTTCATGTCAGATCGCAGTGGCCGGCGTCCGTAGGTGGGCATGCTGGCGCGAGAAATGCAACCTGCTGATGTGAAATCGGAGAGCCGAAACGACGGGGAAACAATAAAAAAATTAACATCGGAAGGTGGCAGGAAGTGAACATCACAGCCAGCCATGACCGAAACTGGTTGATGACGTCCTTCCAATGATTGCTAGGTCTGTACCCATCTTCTCGGTTGAAATTGTGTCCGTGTCTATATATGTATATGGATGGCTTCATGAACAAATCTTTGTTGATAGCCGGTGGGTTTGCAAAAGTACCTTCGTCTTAGAGAAATCAATTTCGTGTGAGCCCACCGCATTGAAACAATGATCAGCCACGGCCGAGGTATTGGTCCTACCGTGTTACAGATCTGCCTTGTGTTCACGAACACGGTCCGAGACATGTCGCTTAGTTTCCACAATGTACAGTGAGGGGAAAAAAGTATTTGATCCCCTGCTGATTTTGTACGTTTGCCCACTGACAAAGAAATGATCAGTCTATAATTTTAATGGTAGGTTTATTTGAACATTGAGATACAGAATAACAACAAAAAAATCCAGGAAAACGAATGTCAAAAATGTTATAAATTGATTTGCATTTTAATGAGGGAAATAAGTATTTGACCCCTCTGCAAAACATGACTTAATACTTGGTGGCAAAACCCTTGTTGGCAATCACAGAGGTCAGACGTTTCTTGTAGTTGGCCACCAGGTTTGCACACATCTCAGGAGGGATTTTGTCCCACTCCTCTTTGCAGATCTTCTCCAAGTCATTAAGGTTTCGAGGCTGACGTTTGGCAACTCGAACCTTCAGCTCCCTCCACAGATTTTCTATGGGATTAAGGTCTGGAGACTGGCTAGGTCACTCCAGGACCTTAATGTACTTCTTCTTGAGCCACTCCTTTGTTGCCTTGGCCGTGTGTTTTGGGTCATTGTCATGCTGGAATACCCATCCACGACCCATTTTCAATGCCCTGGCTGAGGGAAGGAGGTTCTCACCCAAGATTTGATGGTACATGTCCCCATCGTCCCTTCGATGCGGTGAAGTTGCCCTGTCCCCTTAGCAGAAAAACACCCCAAAGCATAATGTTTCCACCTCCATGTTTGACAGTGGGGATGATGTTCTTGGGGTCATAGGCAGCATTCCTCTTCCTCCAAACATGGCGAGTTGAGTTGATGCCAAAGAGCTCCATTTTGGTCTCATCTGACCACAACACTTTCACCCAGTTGTCCTCTGAATCATTCAGATGTTCATTGGCAAACTTCAGACGGGCATGTATATGTGCTTTTTTGAGCAGGGGGACCTTGCGGGTGCTGCAGGATTTCAGTCCTTCACGGTGTAGTGTGTTGTTACCAATTGTTTTCTTGGTGACTATGGTCCCAGCTGCCTTGAGTTCATTGACAAGATCATCCCGTGTAGTTCTGGGCTGATTCCTCACCGTTCTCATGATCATTGCAACCCCACGAGGTGAGATCTTGCATGGGGCCCCAGACCGAGGGAGATTGACAGTTATTTTGTGTTTCTTCCATTTGCGAATAATCGCACCAACTTTTGTCACCTTCTCACCAAGCTGCTTTGCAATGGTCTTGTAGCCCATTCCAGCTTTGTGTATGTCTACAATCTTGTCCCTGACATCCTTGGAGAGCTTTTTGGTCTTGGCCATGGTGGAGAGTTTGGAATCTGATTGATTGCTTCTGTGGACACGTGTCTTTTATACAGGTAACAAGCTGAGATTAGGAGCACTCCCTTTAAGAGTGTGCTCCTAATCTCAGCTCGTTACCTGTATAAAAGACACCTGGGAGCCAGAAATCTCTGATTGAGAGGGGTCAAATACTCTTCCCTCATTAAAATGCAAATCAATTTATAACATTTTTGACATGCGTTTTTCTGAATTTTCTTGTTGTTATTCTGTCTCTCACTGTGCAAATAAACCTACCATTAAAATTATAGACTGATCATTTCTTTGTCAGTGGGCAAACGTACAAAATCAGCAGGGGATCAAATACTTTTTTCCCTCACTAACTACTGCCGCCGACACAGCTTAGTTTGTAGACGCCGGGGTATTGCATGTCAGGGATCACGTCCTTTACAGATGGGATCACGACACTACACTATACACTACACTATACACTACATCACTATACACCACCACTATACACCACTATACACTACACCACTATACACTACACCACTATACACCACCACTATACACTACTATACACTACACCACTATACGCTACACCACTATACGCTACACCACTATACACTACACCACTATACAGTACACTACAACACTATACACTACTATACACCACACCACTATACACTACTATACTACATTAGTACACTTTACACTGCAGCACTATACACTACTATGCACTGTACACTACTATACACTACACCACTATACACTACTATGCACTATATACTACATTAGTACACTTTACACCACACCACTATACACTCCTATACACTGTACACAACTATACCCTGTACACAACTGTATACTGTACACCACTATACACTGTACACCACTATACACTGTACACTACTATACACTTCACCACTATACACTGTACACTACTATACACCACTATACACTGTACACTACTATACACCACCATCAGAATCAGAAAGGGTTTTATTCGCCATGAAAGTTCACACCGACACGGAATTTACTTTGGCAGGATGGTGCATACATTCAACATATAGGAATTTAAAATTTTAAATAAGTTTTAAACAAGTCTTACTATAATAATAAGGGTTAAAAGTCTAACTAACACCAAGGGGCTGGAGTATAGTGTACAACACTATACACTGTACAACACTACACTGTACACTACTATACACTACACCACTATACACTGTACACTACTATAACCATTATACACTGTACAACACTACACTCTACACGACTACACTGTACACTACTATACACTGCACACTACTATACACTGTACACTACTATACACTACTATACACTGCACACTACTATACACTGTACACCACTACGCACTGTACACTAGACACCGCACATCACTATACACTGTACCTTACTGTGCACTTTACACCACTATACACCACTATACACTGTACACCACTATACACCGAGCACTGTACACCACTACATACTGTACACCACTATACACTGTACACCACTATACACTGTACACCACTATACACTGTACACCACTATACACTGTACACTACTATACACTGCACACCACCATACACTGTACACCACTATGCACTGTACACCACTATACACCGCACATCACTATACACTGTACCCTACTGTACACGTTACACCGCTGTACACCACTATACACTGTACACCACTATACACCAATCACTGTACACCACTACATACTGTACACCACTATACGCTGTACACAACGATACACTGTACACTACTATACACTGCACACCACTACACACTGTACAGTACTATACACTACACTACATAATGTACACTGTACACCACTATACACTGTACACCACTATACACTGTACACTACTATACACTGTACACCACTATACACTGTACACCACTCTTCATGATGATGGGAGGAGGGGAATAGTAAGGTGGCGTGCAGTGTTGGTGAGCGAGTGAGTGGAGGCACCTAGACTGGCACAGTAGGGGGGTATCAGCTGGTGTGTGTGCATCTACCAGTGGTCAACTCGGTCAGCCAACCCATGGCACCTGCTGGGTCTGTCCCGTGACCTCCTGCACCTAGCCTGGCACAGTAGGGGGGTATCAGCTGGTGTGTGTGCATCTACCAGTGGTCAACTCGGTCAGCCAACCCATGGCACCTGCTGGGTCTGTCCCGTGACCTCCTGCACCTAGCCTGGCACAGTAGGGGGGTATCAGCTGGTGTGTGTGCATCTACCAGTGGTCAACTCGGTCAGCCAACCCATGGCACCTGCTGGGTCTGTCCCGTGACCTCCTGCACCTAGCCTGGCACAGTAGGGGGGTATCAGCTGGTGTGTGTGCATCTGCCAGTGGTCAACTCAGTCAGCCAACCCATGGCACCTGCTGGGTCTGTCCCGTGACCTCCTGCACCTAGCCTGGCACAGTAGGGGGGTATCAGCTGGTGTGTGTGCATCTACCAGTGGTCAACTCGGTCAGCCAACCCATGGCACCTGCTGGGTCTGTCCCGTGACCTCCTGCACCTAGCCTGGCACAGTAGGGGGGTATCAGCTGGTGTGTGTGCATCTACCAGTGGTCAACTCAGTCAGCCAACCCATGGCACCTGCTGGGTCTGTCCCGTGACCTCCTGCCAGCAGAGAGCCTTCCACACTTCACGTGGTAGCCTCGAAGTGGTGCACCTAGCCTGGCACAGGCGCCGTGGTGACGTCACCGTCAGTGGGAAATGGCGGGTATTGGTATTGGTGTGTGTGTGTGAGTGAGGAGGTGAGTGTGTGTGTGAGTGAGGAGGTGAGTGTGTGTGTGAGTGAGGAGGTGTGTGTGAGTGAGGAGGTGAGTGTGTGTGAGTGAGGAGGTGAGTGCGTGTGAGTGAGGAGGTGAGTGCGTGTGAGTGAGGAGGTGAGTGCGTGTGAGTGAGGAGGTGAGTGCGTGTGAGTGAGGAGGTGAGTGCGTGTGAGTGAGGAGGTGAGTGCG